CTCTCTCTCTCTCTCTCTCTCTCTCTCTCTCTCTCTCTCTCTCTCTCTCTCTCTCTCTCGTTGAAGTAGCTTTTATCTATATTGATTGATTATTTCATATGTAGCGCGCTAATGTCCACTCGTATGAAATAGGAGAATTGAATAATAAATTTTGTATATAAAGTTATCGACAAGAACATTATGTGTTATAACAAATTATATCGTGCGTATTTTAGATCAACATAGATTTCATTGAGAGAAAGAGAGTTACCGAAATCGTATCTCATCAATTGCAATTGATATTGCAATTTTTTTAAACGTTACATTTTTATACGTTACGTATTTTGGTAACACGTAAAATAAGATATAATCACAAAATAAGATGTAATCTGAAGCCTTTTTATTTATACTTTTTATTGCTCATTTTTACCATTAAATGTCGTTCAATAATGTACTTAATAATAATAGGTAAGTTGATGTGAAGTACGATTTAGAAAACACTGATACGATTTCGCCTCTAATTGTTCTTCTCTAATCCTTCTTTTACCGGTGCATCTAGCCTAGATTAAATCATATAGCGTAGGTGTGTGCATGTAAATACGATTTATAGACCAATCGCTCGTAGCTTGCCTAGTAGAATAATAGTTCTGTGATATTTGCTCCAAGCGTAGCTGGTAAAAGCATGTAGTTGGATCGCAACAATGTTAACTTGTTTCGTACGCCGGTCGATTAGTTGCGTTATCAACGAAAATGGAAATAAGGCCAATGGCTCATGTGATCGCGTACGAGTATATGAATACGACACGATGTTTCCATACGTTTTATTGAAGGAACGTGATTCTCGCGCGACAATATTTTTTCCCAATGATGTACAGACGAATAATTGTTCTCAACGTTCTCATTACAACAGAAATCGAATGTATTTATTTTCTAGCAACTTCCAGTTGCTCTTAATTGCAATGTCGAGCCTCAAAATGTCAAGCCTCGAAATCACTCAGAATTCGATCGGGAAAATATGGAATTTTTTATTTTGACGTTTCAGGGTTGATTATTCACAGGTACATTATTCATGATCGATTCGCGTATGCAATATCATTAGACGCGACTCGTCGCCGTAGCAGACACATTGACTTGCCCTCTTCAAAACAAGCTACGTGAAATATAGGGCAGACCATTTCTATTTCCGGCGCATCGTGGCGACGGGAATTAGCGTTCAACACCAGCAATAACAGAAAGAAACGGCGCATATTGATGTCGAAGTTATCTATTTATCTTTCTCCCCTCGCGCGATTATCAACGACGCTGAAAATATACGTACAACATCCATAATCTCTGAAGAGTATTACCAGACCGATAGATCGATCGAATCGTTTATTACATTCTCAATTTAACCAAGAGGGCTCTTCTGCATACCAAAATTACTGATCAATTAGACTCAGTTTCTATCGCGATAACACATCATTTCTAATATTGACTCGATCGTCCCACAAAATTATACGATTTAATCGTAACTTTTTAAATATTCAGCAACAATCATCTATACGGAGCAATTTCCCTTCGCCGGCGCGAAGGAAATCGCGTGTCTACCGTCTGGAAAATAAAGCCGATATAAAAAAAAGTGTGTATTTGCGTCTGCGAGAGCGAGCAAAACGGCAAGCATACTCGCGGTATCTCGTCGCGAAATTAATAAGCGTGTTCGTAAACGCCGACATAAAAGCGCGAGAACTATCTGCAAAAATCAAAACGCGTCCTTGCGTGCACGGCACAATGTGTCCTATTATCCCCGCGTATATCGCATAATTTGCACACAATTGTGCACAATGTCGGTAGTTTGGAAATAGTTGCCGAGAGGTCTTTTTTACGTCTTTTTATAAACGTCCCGATCTCGTCGATCAAGGTGGTTGAACAGTTTCTCTTGGATGCACGCTCTTCCCAGATTTCGCGCGTGTCGCAAAATATTATTGTGTCGGCCTCACGTCACGTCGAAATTCGCGCAAAATAAGACCGAACGACGATTACCGTGTCGATAATAAATGGCGTGCGCCGTTCGTTGGCTTCTCGTCTGGCTTTTCCACCGATTGTAAACAGCGTCGAGCTACATAGAGTCGCCCGGCCAACGTAAGAAGAAACGCACTTCACGACAGCAAAAAGTCCCGCAAATTGAAAAGAGGACTCTTGCCGGAGCGGGGTCTTGATCGCCCTCGCCTTTCTCCGCTATTCCCGGACCTCTCTCTTACGCTCTTTTCCCTCTCTCGCCCCTTTCTCTTCCTCACGGCGCATTTCTATTTTTGTCTTTTCTCTTAGCATTATCTGCCGCAGGCAAATACGAGTAATAAACACGTGTATATAACACTCGGAAAGATACTAAGCGGGTTACACGCACTCGAGGGAGCGCACTCACGTACGATCGAGCGCAAACCGGCCAGGGGTGATCGACTTTCCCGATTAAGGCGCGATCGCAAAGTTCGCGAGGGACTCGATGAACTTTTTCGCGCTTGAAAAATACAGGACTAATGCAGTTCGTTACGATCGCACGTGGCTTCGCGCCGTTCTGCGGCCGCGAAATTGCGCAGATTTCGGTCAATTTCATCAAATTGTGACTCGTAAGATTACACGCCTTGCGATACAGAGCGAATGAGTGTGATTTTTGGCACGAAATTCTGCGAACCTTCCGCCAACAATCGTCCAATAACGATACGATTTCGGATCTCAAACATTGCATAACAAATAATTGTTTAGCTTTGCAAATTGAAATAACAATCGCTTGAGATATCGTGTGAAAGGCAACAGAAATAGCGAGCTATTTTAAGAGTCGGTCGATTGTAAGGTCGCTGTTTCGAATCAAGAAGTGTTTTTAATGTCGAGATTGCGCCATTTGTTGCATATCTTGCGTTACTCAGGATACAACTTGAGTAAAAAACAAAAACAAAATACTCGAAGGCGATACGAAATACCGCCGGAGACTTGAGCATCGTGCCCCTATATGAGTCATGGTGATAAAAGCGTGCTTTCAGCCTCGTCGGAGTTTGCCCGCGACATGTGTGTAATTTCTTGAATGAGACAACTATGTATCGTACGTGAAAATCGATACAGTTTAATTTTTAGCGAGTACGATAACGGCCATTTAAATACGAAGAGAGACCTCAACAAATATTTGGCGAAAGCCAATGTTCAACAGCACTGTTTGCTATATTCGATAAATGTTTAAGTGACAATAACTAATCGCGTAACCCGTTAGTAACGAAGAAGATCGCGTCGATTACGAGTGCTACTCCAACACCGCAAAGTGGTGCAATTAATTATGCGCCATTTGTTCGTGCCATGCCATGTATACGGGATTCCGAGCAATTGACCAGAACGTATTGAATAACGAGGATATGCATTTATGCGTTATAAATCGCGCGTGAAGCAAGAAGTGCCAATGTGAAGGGAAAAGAAGCCTATCCCGAACGCATAAATTAGTCGGTCCAACGCTCGATCAACGAATGCGCCTGATTACGCGTTTATTGGGTTCGATTCATTTGAACGAGAGATCACTATCTTTTACATGATACGTTCGCGATACTTCAGCGTTGAAATACGATATTTGGGAATATAACTTGGATCATATTTCGAGTTGAAATATTAGTCCTTGAAATTTGGTCCTACTTTCGACCTCAATACCCGATTTAACGACTACTTTAATATTCTCAAGTCTACACCAACCACTTTTGATTCTATTTAACCTGCTGAGTTCGTCAAAAAATCCTCTTTAGAATCTACAAGTTGTATTTTGTGCATTTTCTCCGCCATTTAGAGGCGGCAGATAGAACTTCAGTTTCTAATGTGCATTAAACATACACTGATCCTTCAAAGTATATACTAAGAGAAAAAACGTTTAATCTAAGAAACAAAAAATAGTCATTCGGTGGTTATTAATAATACATTTACTTATACTAATAAAATATTTTTCAAATAAGAAAATATACATTTTCTTAAAACCTGTATAGTTGTTAGAAAATTTGGGTCGAAAGTAGAACTAAAATTTCGACTGGGATTACACGATTTGTTGAGGGAACGTGCAAAGCACGTTATTAATTAAGAACGAATTATAACAACCAAATGTTAAAGAAATTAATCAAAATACGCGATCAAAAAAATCATTTCTCTTATTAAATTCTATTGTAATATTGGTGATAATAATCTCGCATGTTACTACTACCATTTTCGTGTTAGAAAACCAAAAAGTATGATCAAAAACAGTCACGATTTTAGTTAAATCAGTCATTTTTTTCTCTCAGTATACATGATCGACGTGTGTTATGGAGTTGACATTACAATTTGACGGCCTAAACGAATGAAACTCGCATTCTCTAATAATGCAATTGCACGGTGCACGAGCACCAAGCGTGCTGCATATACATGCGTCAAGTGCAGCAATTTGAGAGAACTCGCATAGGACTTGACGCGGCAGTGCGTGGTTAGAATTAATGTCAACCGTTATCCTCGAATAATTCGAGATTCGTATAATCGGCTCTCTCTTGCGTGACGATTTGAAATGGCGATTCAAAATCACTCCGCCAAATATTTCGATAATAATCAAATCAATATGGATAGTAGAACAATAATACACACGAATAGAATCTCTCGCGGGAATAAATGAACGCATTTTGCCACATTTCACTGCTAACAGCGCGAAATCGGTCGCGGAATTAAACAACAAAATTGAATGAGCGAGCAAACACGTCGAGAGAGTCCCTATCTCGAGAACTTTCTCGCGTATTCTTTTCTCTCATAATAACAATAATAATCTTTATCCACGCGGAAAGAAATATGTACAAAATTTACATTCTTTGCAATTTATATTGCACTGCAAGTGTTGTATAATGTATTCTTTTAGATAAAAAAAATATTTATTCGCGATAGATACAGATTTACTCATACTAATATAAAATATCTCTTAAATGAGAAAATTTTCTTACAATTTTCCAGCTTTTCATAAAGGCCATTGTTTATTTCATTTAAATAAAAGAATCTGGATTTAAGTATATATAAGTAAATATGTTATTAATATCGACCGAATAGAAATAATTAAATAGATTCACAATTAAAATAACAATAGTAATTAGTTTCCGCGCAACAGGTCATCTTACTTCTCGATTAAGACGACTTTAAAAAGTAAAAGCTTATGGAGTGCAAACTTACTGAGTGCGTTGAAGTAAAACGTGGATCATAAGGCGACTTCTCTATCACGAGACAATATCACAGTCTGGCACTCTTTCTCAGCCGTTACTACGGGACGTTACTGTTGCGGACGCAAACAGGTGGGATGTGATCGCTACGGTGACGGAGAGACTAGTTATTCTCATGGGGAATGCGATCATGAAATGCCCCGTAAACGATATCGGGCCACCGATATCGAGACAATGCTCGAGACTCCTCGGATCAATTCTTCCCAGTGTCTGGAATATATTGGCAGCCGTTGGCGAGCACTTTGCGCTCAAGATCGCCCTGGTTACCCGCCACCTGTGCCAAACGAGATCACAAACCGATCGATCGCGGAGAGCGCCTATTCGCGATTAATCTAGGCTGGAACAACGATTCGATCGCGGGGTCGACTCGAACTCCTCGCTTCTCCAGAGAGACGCTGATTCTTTAACTTCGTTAGCGTGTAGTGTGCCACAGGTGCACGATACTCTTCTTCTTATTCCTAGCAGATGCTTAGGTGTCGTAGATCACAGTCGTATATTCGCCTCCTCTTTCCGTCCTCTCCGGCAACAACTGCGGCGAGACGGTCGTGTTACTTTCTATGAGATCTTCGACCCTCTCGTCGTCGAACGGTCTTCCGCTTCGAGCGATTTCGAGCTGACGACGACGCCGATCGAATCGTAAGCTCTTATTAACGATTCGTGATATGTGCTAGCCTACGGAGAGACTAGCACGGTGACGATCGCGAGCGTGGATCCCACGCTTCTCTCTTTCCGAGAGGATCGACGAGGCACGTCTCGACCGCTCGGTCGCCGACGAGCGTCTCTTCCGACTAGGAACGTGCGGTCACGTTTCTGACAATGCCAGCCTGATTGACCGCAATTGTCACAGAGACCTGTCCTCGGAGGAGTTCTCCGTCTCGAGAAGAGACCGCTGACCAACTAGCGTGGCTAAGGTGGCTCGCACTCGCTTTTTCTCATTCTCTCTCTCTCTCTCTCTCTCTCTCTCTCTCTCTCTCTCTCTCTC